TTAGGGTTTAAGGTTTAGGGGTCTTCCTTCCGGCTTGCAGTGTGGAAGCCACGAGAGAGTTCATTGCGAACCAGAGTCATATAGAGGCCTTTGGTTGAAATGAGACTAGGGTTTTGGTGTATGTCATACTATATTTACAATAAGGAACACCCCCCAAGAAATTGCATAGGTAATCATGAAGGCCCCTGGATTAATGTGCAGGGCCCCTATCTGAAGCCCCTCGACAGGAAAGGGAGCGCACCTGGGGCATTCCGCCCGACGGTCCGTCCAAGACCACGCCCCAGAGCTCGGGTTTCGACACATCCTCGGAGAATGCCAGCCCAGGGCTGAAGGGCTTATTGGGGCTTGGGGTAATGTAAGGCCCTAAATAATTACCCAATCCTATGGTGAGGATTCTTTATCATAAATATAAAGTATAATGAGCCCCAAAACTCTATCCAAATTATTAAGGCCCCCAGGGTTTATGAAAAGCAGAGGTCTACGATTTCTCTTACGATTTTCGCCTTAGGCTTTCGGGCATGGGTCAGTAAGGGTCAAGGCTTATGACGCCTCTGAAGATCCGGGTGCAGGGCTTTAGGTTTCCCTTAGGGCTTCACCGTTTATGGGCTTAAAGTTTCACGGTTTTAGGATCTGGCAAAGGCTCGCGGGATCTGCGGAGTTGGGGCTTTTAGTAACTGTGAAGGCGCGTAGTCTCACAGGTTAGTAAGCAGTGAAGCCTTCAGCGCGCTCAGAACCAAAGTGGCCATATTATCGTTAATACCTTTTGTAAATAATGTCTTGTCCCCTAAACCCTAAACCCTTTGGTGTGTCATTAAAAACCCAAAAGACACCTAAGAACCAAACAACCCTAAACCCTAAACCCTAAACCCTAAACCCTAAACAACCAACAGACTCCTCAGGAACCACCAAGACTCCCAGGGCTCGGAAGCTTTTTGAGGCCCAAGCCGTGCTGCATTCATGATACAAACCCTAAACGCCCCATAGATCCCCTTAAGAAGCCCTTAAAGGAGCCCCCGTTTCAGGGCTTCTACTGTTGGTGATATAAATCTGCATTACCTTAAGGGCCCTAATCTATGGGAATTATCGTATATTCCTTATTCTATGGGAATTATGGTATATTCCTTAATCTATGGGAATTTGGTATATTCCTTACTATGAAAAATGCAGGGTTTATATCATCAACTCGAGGCGTCCTGGCCAGCAGTGACGGGTTGGTAGCTTCGAAAAACATACTGTAGCAGCAGCAGTACCAAGACTTTCTACCGCAAGTATCGTGCCCAGGACCCTGCAAATACACATCTCGGTCTCAGGTAACAACCGTATCCTTCTGCCCTCACAGCAAACATCAGCGAATCCCAGTGCGAATCACCCTGAATCCATGTTCCAACTTTTCTAGTTTGCTGTATGATGGAAGGCTGAATAGTCAGACTAGGGTAGTGGGAGTTTCATGGAGTGTTCAATACTCTATCATAGCAGTCGGACCACGAGACATGATGCTAATTATTACTTTGATTGTGCCAACATATACTAAAAGCTCTATGTAAGGGGCCTTAAGAATTAGAATAGGGTTTTGGGGCCCTGTATACAATTTCTGCAAAAATGAGAAGGAACCCCTCCAACAAATAGTGTTGGTAATTCATTTAGGCTCCTATATTCGGCCAGCCAAGCTTCAGGGAGGACACCGAAGTTCTCCTGGACAAACCTGAGGTCAAAACAAGAGTAAGTGTTAGAATAGGGTATAGGGCCCATTATATTATAGTTAGAATAAGGAACCCCCAGAATAATATAGGCAATTATTAAGGCCCCTGCAATCTACCTGGACGTTTTGCTCGCAGACTTTCCCATCAATGTCAACGCCCGCAGCCAGGGGTTGAGGGTGTCGGGCTTTGCTGCGTCATCCGTTTTAGTTATTATGGTATAGGGGGCTCTTGAAGAATCTTGAGGACTTATGCATTACTTCTTCGATCTGGAATGCTCCATCTTCGGATGTGCCTGCGTGCCCTTTGCACGATCTACCACAGAGGCCAGTACCTTGAAAAACCTTGGCGAAGTGCCAAGCCCATCGGTGCTGGGTCTGGGGGTGCGCAGACCTGAGACCCCAAGGGAATACCTAGTTAATTGGAATAGGGTTTTGGGGTATACTATACCTTTAAGTATAAGAAGGACCCCCCCCCCCTAAGATAGTATAGGTAATTATTAAGGCCCCTAAATTCCCTAGTGCTTCTTCAGGTTTCCTCATAATCGTGTGCTTGGGGCCTCTACATAAACCCTGATTCCAACCACTTTTTCTGACTTTCCCAATAAGCCAGGGAAATAAAAGGTTGAACTTTCAGGTTACTACTAATTCATAAAATCCCACAAAGTTTCAAGGTTGGGTATTGGCGAACAAAGTTTTGCTGACAAGAATTCTGTTTAGCTCCGCCGCTCCCGTGAGCCCATCTTTCCGGATCTGCCGGCCGCCGCAAGCTTCCCACTCATCTGCATGATCAGTGTGTAGTACTCCTGCAGAGCGGTTTAAGGATCTCGGGTTCAGGGTGTTTAGTATCGTAGTGCTCCTGCAGAGCGGTTTAAGGATCTAGTGTTCAGGGTTTAGGGATCTGGGTTTCAGGGTTTAGGGCTTTTCGTATCATCAGCAGTATCAACAGAAGTTGCAACAGACTGATAGGAAATGGAAGTAGAAGTCGCCGTCGTCATCGCCAGTAGCCGGCAGGTACAGTGTAACGCATCCTTACGTCTTATTTTCTGTAAACCTGACTCATACCTGCTTCCGAAGCCTAGAAAACTCTTAAGATATCTTAAGCCTGACCCTACAGCCCGACCCGATAAACCCCAGAACCCCCCCTCCAAAAAATCCAAAACTCAAGGCTGCGGCGGTCCTTGCCCGAACCATGCAGCTCGTAGTCTTTGCACTTGTCATAAGGGCCTTCCTCGGGGGGGCAACCGAGCCACCCTAAACCCTTTTGCAACTGGCCT